TCTCTTTCGTGTCGGTTTAACTCGGGATAAATCGTCTCGTTTGAGGAGCGATTCCCTCTATTCTAGTGAGTTGCTGTGTCTGAAAATCTTCGTCAAATTGACTTCAATGAGGGATTAAATTATACATGGGCTCGCGTGCTAAAATGGAGCTGTGCTGTTATGGGGTGTTGCGGCGGAGGTCATTGAAAGATAGTCGTGGAAGTAAAGAGTGTTGTGCGGAAGGGTTTTGTTGGAGACATCACCGTGACGGTCCCTGACAGGTTCAAGAGTATTGTTGCTGAGTGTTTCCAATCCGACGGCTTGTTCCAGAAGAGTTTGAAGGAGGGTGAGTTCTGACAATATGAAAGTTCGGAGGAAATATTTGGAAATTATCGTTGGTTTTCGTACAATTTTGTGAATTTTGATTATGTGATGGGAAAACTATTGAGCTCAGCTGAGAAAAGCAAACATATATTCCTACTTTGATAGTCACTGACTTCTTCCCTTTTCCGTTCAGCTTTCGAGACATTCATCAATCGCGACTTGGGTCGGTTCAGCGTCGCTGCTATGATGAGTAGTTTCTGTGACAAAGTGCTGAGGAAAGGAGGTCAGAGGGGCTCCTGTTGGCATATGGGATGGGTACGGGGGCAGGGGAGAAGCGTTCGGAGGAGCAGGTCGATGCTCTGATGTCGAAGTTGGTGGATCTGTTCTCGTTTTTGACCGATAAGGACGTGTTTGCTGAGATATACCGAAACCAGTTGGCGAAGCGCCTGTTGTAGTACATGGGGGTGGCGGTTCGGAGAAGGGAGGGAGGAGGCTGGGAGGTCTAGATACGATACAAGTGCTAGTGATGAGGCGGAGAAGAATGTTATCCAGAAGTTGAAGATGAAATGTGGGTGAGGAGTGGTATGGCGGTTGGGATTGATGATTTATGGCTTTGTGAGTAGAGCCCAGTTCACGTCGAAGCTGGAGGGGATGATTACTGATATATCGTTGGCCGCGGATATGCAGAAGCAGTTTAGGGAGTACCTTTCCCATAGAGACTCTCAGGCTGACTATGGCAAGTAGGCGCCGCTGAGATGCAATGTCGCGCGCCACGAAATTGCCTGAGTGTTGTTTAGTATTGATTTTTCTGTGACGGTTCTGACGACTGGATTCTGGCC